TTATACCATGGTTTTTTTACTCCTGGCCAATCAGCAGTAAGGGGTGGGGCCACTTGGGCCAATCAACCAGTCAGCAGTGGTGGGGGAGGGGGAATGGGACTCACTGGCGATTCGTAGGGGGTGCATGCAGATGCATGTGCACCCCGAGATTGGCAGTGCACCCCCTGAAAGAAGCGCCACTGACGCTGCCAGCAGTGCCTGTGGAGGTCACTGCTTGCCACCCCTCCCCTCCCCCACCACCAACGTTGCCGGTGGCATCTGTGGGCAGTCACCATGCCCCCGCATCCTCCGGGGCAACACGTCATTCATGATAGGACTAGCCATGAAAAGACCACAAAATCAGCTCTGCACACCACAAGTGGCCCACAAAACTCCCTTTCTCCCACCACAATTTAGGTAGGTCCATATGTATGATATAGTAAAGTAACGCACATTCAACAGAATTATATTTGTTTTCATTTCAATCTTAAATTGAATAATAGAGCCCTAGGCCCCGAGCATATTAGCAAAGAATATTTTTTTTTTTTTACCTGGGCAAAAGTCAGTTTTGCATTATAAATGATGATGATGCACCACACCACTTTCAAAATCCTAGATCTATCCCTGGGAGGACATTACGAGGTCTGTCTCTTGTGTCCGTTGTTGCTCCTGAGAAGTTAGAAGTATTAGCAATGAAAGGAAACGGGTAGCAGCACTGCTGTTAGAGATGCCTTACCCGCATGAAAATGTTTTAAAATGGAAATATTTCCAGAGTATCTTGATCTGGGTTTCCGAGACGCTGAGTTCAGAGAACTCCTATTGAAATCAATGGAGTGTTCAAGCTGAAGTAGCTCTAGATGCCAAAAAAGCACCTTATTAATAACTTGCCAACTGAAATCCACAGATGAGTTATAAACCCTTTCTCAGAGAAGTTCTTGACACCTTGAGCCAGAGCTTCAGAGATATGTAAGTGCCTAAGTATCACTGGAAAAATATATTCCCATGGGGCTTTCCTGCTCTGACCAGCCTCTACCACAGCTATGCAAACACCCCCACCCATAATACTCTGCACTTCAATAGTGTCTTTCATCAGATCTCAAAGCACTTGACATACATCAGCTAATGAAGTTTCATGCTTCCCACATTAGGTAGGGGAGCTCCCTTCCTACACATCCCTCCCTCATAGCTATGCAAATATCATCTCCTGGTCTCGGGTGGTTCTCTACAATAAGTATATTAATTACATTTATAAATGATGCTAAACTGGGAGAATTCACAAACAAGGAGGAGCACAGAGAAAGTCCAAAGGGGCCAAGTAAAAGCTTGTCCAGTCCATGAAGGGTTTAGAGTGCCTGTAATAACAAAGGACTGGATTTAAGAACCTAAGAGATCCCTTGAATTCCTGTTACACACATAGGAAGGGAATATCCCAGTAAGATTTGATCTGGCTAATTTTGTACTCTGTGGGACAAGGTGAAAAAGGCCTATGATGCCATCATGCCAAATGCAGGGGTAGCCAACCTGCAGTATGAGTGCCACAAGTGGCATAGGCAACTTCTCTGTGGCATGTGGCAGATCACGGAGGGGATATGCAGCACAGAGAGTGTGTCTACATGTGCATTAATGTGCTCTTCCTAATGCACATTAAATTTAGTACCGCCAAGGTAAGGTACTAAATAAATAAGCATTATGCTACTCTAATGCAAGTGATGCTTAATGCACAGTAGCCCATTTTACTGTGCATTAATGTTATTGCATGGGTTTTTTTACATAATGAGCAGTAAAATAGGCTACTACGCATTAAAGCAATATTTCTCAACCTGTGTGTTGTGACCCAAAAGTGGGTCACAAGAATATATGAAAGGGTCACGAACAAACTTTAAAAATGGATTCTCCTTAAAGGAGAAAACCATAGGAAACTAGCTTTTCCCTTGTAGGCTGGCAGAGTTCCAGCCTGTGAGGGGCTGCTCAGGACACCCTATGCCCCTCCCTCTGCCCCACACAGTGGGGGGTGGCGTGCAGTGGGCCAGGAGCAAGGGGCACTGGGTCGAGACTGGCCATTGATGTTTACAAATGGGTCCTCGTCCAAAAAAGGTTGAGAACCACTGCATTCAAGCACACATGTAAACGTGCTCAATGGCAGATAGGCAGGGAGCAGAAAGCAAAGCACCAGATCAGGTAGGGAGCACAGGACAAGAAACAGAAAGCAAAGCAGCAGATTGTATGGGGGAAAGGATTTGATTGGCACTTGGGGAGGATGCAGGGGTAATTTGTGGCATATCTGCCGAAAAGGTTAGCCTTCATTGCCAAACATGGATTCCACCTACTACAGCATGTGCTTCCAGATGAAGTCCCATCAGCATACACACTGATGATCCTCAGGTTCTTTTCAGAGAAGCAAGATTTGCTTAGGTGTGCACAGCCAAGTCCTGCTTTTGTGTATCCAATCTGTCCTAGGAGACCGAACAGAGGCTGAACCCTTCTGTGTTTGTTCAGGGAGGGGCGCAGAGCTCGCTGTGTTCTAAAAGACTTGGTAGTGCTGCTCCACAGAGGAACAGGGTGTTGTGCTCCCCACCTCCAGCCTTCAGACTTAACTATTGTGGTCAGTCCACTGACTCCCATGAAGATGTGAAACAGCTGGGTGCATTACCTCAGCTTCAGGTCACATTGGCTCCATCTTCTACCTGGCTGGTAATATGTACAGCAGGGGAAAGAAGGACTTGGAGTTGGGAGGAGGGAAGGAAGAGCAGACTGGCCTGTTGGGGCTTTAAGACTGAGCAGATTGGATGAATTTTGTGGTCAAGTTGGTGAGTGTACCAGGCACAGCCCAGGGGGTTGAAGCAAAGGTGACTGAGGGTAGACTGTTCTCAGTGGTGGCAGGTGACAGAACAAGGAGCAATGGTCTCAAGCTGCAGCGAGGGAAAGTTTAGGTTGGATATTGGGAAAAACTCTCATGAGGAGGATGGCAAAGCACTGGAACAGGCTACTCAGAGATGTAGTGAAAGCTCCACCCATGGGGGTTTTTAAGGCGTGGCTTGACAAATCCCTGGCTGGAATGATCTAGTTGGGGCTGGTCCTGCTTTGAGTAGGGCTTTGGACTAGATGACCTCCAGAGGTCCCTTCCTTTTCTATGATTCTAAGACAAGAACAGAGCCAGTGTGTTAAATGAGTTGTGTAAAAGAGGGAGCCAAGAGTTAAAGTCAAGAAAGCTTGAAACAACTATGACTCGATGGTTAATAATAAGGTACTAAAAATAATAAAAAAAGCTGCACTAGCAGTAACCAGAGGGAGCAGGATTGCAGCAGAGTGAGGGCAAACAGGAGCAGGACAGGCAATGTACCTGGTGGCAGGAAGCCTGTAATGCTCCTATACATACAGGAGGAAAGGATAGAGGGAATTTGAGCTAGGAGAAAAGATAGTATAGGGTCTCAAGGAAGCAATTGCCTGGGGAAGGATAATCCACGAAAGAACTGAGGGACCAGGGCAGCACAAATTAAGGGCTGGGATGAAGGGAACCAGGGAAACTGGTGCTTCTGTTGAAGGAAGAAAATGTGGGCCAGATGAATAGGCACCTAGGAGACACGGACATCCACCGTGCCTTCACACAGCCCAAAGCAAATAGGCAGCTGGCCACATCACTGACAACTCAGAAAAATCCAGGATACCCAATTTATTACATCACCTGCTAAAGACAAGTTCCCTGCAAGCCCTCAGAAATCCAGGCAGAATGACCTTAAAGTCCCCTTGTTCTTCCAATACTTACCCCAGGGTCAAAAAGCACTCGGATTCCATGTTCCAGAACGGCAGCTGAAGCCCAGAGAGTTTGAATGAATCGCAGAGAAGCACCTTGGCTGGAAGGGATCTGCAAGCCAGATCCAGCCCCCAGCACAATGTCATCCAGCTAACAGGGCTCCCCATGGGTCTGGAAATTTGGTGGTGGGGAACTGGTAGCATAGATCCCCTGCTGCCAAATTTCCAGACTCATTGTGAGCCCCAGACCCTGTGCACAGGACTGACCACCTGATCCAGAGCCAGACAGGGGCACTGACTGCAGAGCCAGACAGGGGCACTGTTGGGCCTCTGGGCACAAACCTGGCACACAGGGGCAGTGCTAGGCCCCTGGAACCCAATCCTAGCAGCAAGGGGCAATGACTTGAAGGGGAACAAGTCAGCCCCCTGGAGTCCAATCCTGGCACGAGCCCAGGGTGGGGGAGGGGAGTGAGGTTGGTATCAGCCCCCCAGGGCAGTCCTGGCACACAGGGCAGACTGGAGTGGCACTGGACTAGTAGGAAGGGTTCGGTGCCCAGGCCCCTAGAGCCCAATACCAATATGTAGAAATGGGAGTGGGTGGTTTGAGGCTCCCAGGGCCCAGTGGGGGTGCGAGGGATGGCAGCAGGCCCCTGGGACCCAATCACAGGACTGGATCCTGGCAGGCGGGGCTCCATCTGGCCCTAGGCCACTCATCTGGCCTGTGGGACCAAAAGGTTGAGCACCACTGATCTAACCGCTGAGCAGAACTACAGTCAGCCTCGACACAGCACAAGATATAGCACCCTAATCTGCCACAGGTAAAGCAGAGGGGCCACAGCACCCAACAACATGGCAGTCCTACTGCTGAATTAAAAGTTGTTAATACGTGCTGAAGAGATCCTAGGCAGAGGGCCGCAGCCCCTGCTAGACGAAAGCAAAACCCCCTGCAGTCTGTACCAGTCTGACCATAGGGGAAACTTTCTTCCCGACCCCAAATACAGTGATAAGTCTGCCCCTGAGTGGAAGGGCAAGGCCCTCTAGCCAGGAGCCTCCAGGTTGACAGCCCAGCTGAGGCATTGGCAGACAAAGTCCCCAGCCTCGGCTGCAGCTAACAGCCATGGCTCTGAGGGCAGCTTTAAAACAACGCTCTGCATGAGGGTGGAAATCCCTCCCAGCAAAGCCAGCAAGCCTGGGAAAGACCCACAGGCACCCCTAGGCCCAGATCGTCCCCAACCAGTGGCTGTCCAACCTCACCTGGAGCCCCTCCAGGGATGGGGGTCCGCCACATCCCCAGGCGGCGGTCCCGCGGCTCTTACAATGACGAAGTCTTTCGGGCTGTCCAAGCTGATGGCTCGGGAACGACTTACCCAGGGCAAAGTGTGCGCCTGCTGCAGAGGCGGGAACTCGCGAGTCCCACCTGGGCGCCCCGGCAGGGCGGGGCCCGGCGACAGGGCCCGTTTGATGTTTGCAGGAGAGGGGAGGCGGCACTCCCCCAATTGGGGGCCTGTATCTGCCTTTAACAGTCCTTAATTCTCGGCAATAGGAGCCGGGGCGTGGGTCGCACGTACATTCACCCAGCCAGGGAGGTGTTTGTTTGGGAAGAGCGAGGCCGCGGGATGGCAGCCCCGGGCGGCCGGGGAGACCCGCGCCCCCCGCACGCGCGCGCGGCCCCG